TCTGAAGAAATATCAAGATGCAAACAGTCATTGATGAGGAACACATGGATCAAAGATCTGAAGAATAGGACTATACCTGTACAGTTGTTGGAAGGAAGAAATAAAATATAAAATTGCAAGATCCACTGGTCACAATTTATTAATTACTGTCAACAGTTCTCTCTACTTTATTTAAATAACTATAGGCATTTTTGTACATTAATCTTCATGTAATGTACTTTGGCTTTGTTAAAACTTAATTTATGCTATATATACCAGGAATGGTATATAATATACAAGTCTGCATCCTCTTTCGCAAGTAGGTCAAAGGACCGTATTCAGTACATTGTTTTGTTTTGTTCTTCCTGGTAGCCAAGCTATTTTTGAAGTTTATCTTTCTATTATGATGTGTTTTTGTTATTCTGATTATCTTGTTTTGAACTTATTTTACTAATATATTTATTGCATTTATTACACACCACTTTTAAGGTCATTTACAATTTTAAAATACTGTAGTAGAACAAAAATGTAGTGACAGAGACCTCTCAGGTTGACTGACAACTGATGGCATTTGCTCCTGACCTCAGCTTCCTTGCCATCCCTCAGGGCATTTGGGACTTTAATAGCCCCAGAGAAGGTGAATGAGGGGCTGTCCCAGTAGTTTTCTCAGGCCACCTATCAGGAGCTGATCTGCCATGCTTACTAGCCTGGGCATCCCAGTTTCTGATTTTCCTCAAGGAAGACAGTAGCCCTAGGGACACTGGGGGAGGGGCTGCCTCAATGATTCTGTCAAGTCAATTGGGTAGTTTTGTCAGAAATCAATGATATGGACTCTCTGGCCTACGCTCACTTGCTTTTATGGGTTAATATGGATAGTGATTTCTTGGTCATGCATTTGATGTGTATTGCTTTGAGCACAAAGTGTGTGGGGAAATGGTACACAGATAAAGTGGCAACGATACTGGTAAGTCTTTCTTCACTTTCCCCTAGAGTTGGAAGCAGCTTGAAAATAAGATTGCTACTTAAATATATACATTCACTCCAGTGTCCCCCTTTGTCTTTTCTTCTACTCCTTCTACTCCTTATTATTATATTAAATAAAACAAAGGGAATTATAGCTGTGCATTTCACCACACCAGCAAGATGTATGTGTCAAGTAAAGCTGTAATCTATAGGCACACTTATCTGAAAATGAGGCATGTATAGGATTTTACTTTCATTTATATATAATAATTTTATGTTCTTACCCTATTTTAGTTTAGATCTGATAAAAGAAATCTGTTGCATATATAGTAAAAAATAATAATTCAAAAGCTATCTACTCTGTCTCTATTGTAAGTGGATGGATGATGTTTTTCCCCAAATCTTGTCAGCATTTCAGGAAATCAAACACCCTGCTTCCTCATGTAAATGTTGATGCAGAGCTTTTCACAACACAACATATTGAGCTATAAGAAACATTCCCAAAATAGGAAACTGCATTCTCTAAAGTGAAAAACAGGTTTTGTGGAAAGGGTCTAGAATTGGCTAGTTATGCATATGCACTGAAATGAATGACTATATGGGAGATCCATATTCAATTAAAGATCTTGAAAAGCAGGAAAAGCCCTTCAAATTGAGAGATGGTTAATGACATCCCCTACTCAGAGTTCCAGGAACTTGGTACAAAAAAGTCTAAGACGTCCCATGGCAGAGCTGACTCTGTGCACCAAGGAATAAATATCATATGCTAGAGTAAAATGGGAGTGGCAAAGAAGCAGCCATTTCATGTCCCATACAAATGAAAGAAGCAACCACCAGTATTCAGGCTTGCATGGCTAGGAAGGATTTCTGCATAAAGGAGCAAGTCACTTTCATTCTTCTTTCTCTCAAACACACACGTTTCTATTTGTAAACTTACGTTTTGCATGGAAATTTTTATCACAAGTATATTTGCAAACGTGACTTGAAAGTTTCTACACGAAGGTAAACTAATCCTATATATATCCTGAATGGAAGCAAAGGAAAAGCCTTGCTCCTTTCACCTGATCACAAATTCATCATTAAACAAACACATTTCAATAACTAAAAGAATTAAATATAATTCTGGAAATATTTTTTCTTACCTTTTAGCAAACAGTGAGATTCGTTCGTCAGTTCCTGTACCTTGCTCCCGCTTCTGGCGGACCTTTGTTACGGGAGTTATTTACTTTCATTTTCCTGCTCTGCATCAAGATAAGTAACTGCCAAAAATCTGCTCTACAGTTAATGGCTGTGACATTCAGCACCTGCCTCTGAAGGATAAAGGAGTGTCCTATGTAAACACTATGCTCCACCGATACTTGTAGAGCTAATGCATTGACTACAGTGCTTCATTTGAAAAGACAGTCCTATATGAATGGCTCTCTACCCCAAATCTGGATTAAAGATAACCTTAAAAAGGGAGAACAGAGACCTTGAAGTACTGCAGCAACAATTAGCATCAGGACAACAGCCCGAGCAATCACACAAGTCTCCTGGTCACAGACTTCCGTTCTGTGATGAGCTGTGTTGAATTTCTCTTTAAAATATAGCAATTGTTTCAAAATCTGCATCTATATGTAATGTATTAACCAGAACACACAAATTGATGCCCTCTTTTCCTGATTTGTTTATACTACTAGCATTAAAGGAGATTCTGCAGCTTATTCAAGCACACAGCTCATTCATTCTAAATCACGATAGACCAGGCAATCCGAATTAATGCAGTGAATGTGTTTATTGCCTTGCTTGCTACAATACTACTTCTACCCTACTTCTGCTTCCTATGGTTGTGCTGCTGTAGAGGCTCCATGGCGTTTATTCTCTCTGTGCTCCTCCTAGTGGTTATTCCTCCTCTGGTCACTGCTGTGGAAGCACAACCTGTCTGCCTCCAGGCACTGCGGTCATCTGCAAGGGATTCCCATGTGGCGGGGTTAATGTTGGCAGCCTTCATGTCACATCTACAGACAGCACCTGAACCCTTGAACTGGTAAGTGGTGGCTTTGCAGGATGGCTCCACTGCCCCCAATGAGATCCGCTGATGGATACCTCTTACAGTAGTCTCCTGCTGGTGGAGAAGCCTATCGGCTCTCTCCACTGGTTGGAATCCAAGCCTGCCTGAAAATTCAGACAATCGCAAGCAGGCTTTGAAGCAGGACATTCCTGGGGGATGGACCACCAGATTTACCTCCTCACCATTATTAAGCTTGTTTGGTACTTGGATATTGTTGGTTTCCATTTTCGGTCCTGGGCAGGAATTCTCCTACCAGGCCAATTGGCTCCCGTTTGGTGGTTTTCACCTACCTCATAGAAATTGCCACAACGTATGGCAATTTAGGCATTGAATAAGTCTTAGTCTTGGCTGGAGGGGAGGTTGTAACCTTTGCCTACCCCTCCAAATGCGAAGGTATGCTGTTAAAGGGATCTGGGAGGACTTGCTTCTGTCCAGAGGTCCAGGTGGGGGCTTGGGCCACAGCACTTCTCAAACTGGCGATCCCACAGCAGTATTCCTATTTGATGTATGTCATAGGACTCCTCTTCTGGGCTGGAAGTCAACAGTTATACTCAATGCCTATACCAAACCTCTACATCTGTAATCCTTCAAGTCCTGGCCTTATTTGCCCCCAAATATGTTGTCCTGTCTGGTTATTCTATGTGGAGGTAGGGGGAGGGGGAGGGTAGGTGGAGCCTGAGCACGCAATTTCCTTGAAGAAACACACCAAGAAGCCCAAATTGAAATAATTTTAATTGAACAGTTATATTACTTAAGGTTATGACAAACCCCTTACTCTTAATTAACAGCTTATGTCTGTAGTTTATGTCTGTGGGCCTCTCCTTCCTGGGAACGTACAAAGTTTCTGGTTAACATAATGAATCTGTATAATGAACAACACTAGAGAGTTCCAGAAAGACATCTACTTCTGCTTCATTGACTATGCAAAAGCCTTTGACTGTGTCGACCACAGCAAACTATGGCAAGTTCTTAAAGAAATGGGAGTGCCTGATCACCTCATCTGTCTCCTGAGAAATCTCTATGTGGGATAAGAAGCTACAGTTAGAACTGGATACGGACCAACTGATTGGTTCAAAATTGGGAAAGGAGTACGACAAGGCTGTATTTTGTCTCCCTGCTTATTTAACTTATATGCAGAATTCATCATGCGAAAGGCTGGGCTGGATGAATCCCTAGTCGGAATTAAGATTGCTGGAAGAAATATCAACAACCTCAGATATGCAGATGACACAACCTTGATGGCAGAAAGTGAGGAGGAATTAAAGAACCTTTTAATGAGGGTGAAAGAGGAGAGCGCAAAATATGGTCTGAAGCTCAACAAAAAAAAACAACGAAGATCATGGCCACTGGGCCCATCACCTCCTGGCAAATAGAAGGGGAAGAAATGGAGGCAGTGAGAGATTTTACTTTCTTGGGCTCCATGATCACTACAGATGGTGACAGCAGTCACGAAATTAAAAGATGCCTGCTCCTTGGGAGAAAGGCGATGGCAAACCTGGACAGCATATTAAAAAGCAGAGACATTACCTTGCCGACAAAGGTCCGTATAGTTAAAGCCATGATTTTCCCAGTAGTGATGTATGGAAGTGAGAGCTGGACCATAAAGACGGCTGATCGCCGAAGAATTGATGCTTTTGAATTATGGTGAATTATGGAGGAAACTCTTGAGAGTCCCATGGACTGCAAGAAGATCAAACGTATCCATTCTGAAGGAAATCAGCCCTGAGTGCTCACTGGAAGGACAGATCGTGAAGCTGAGGCTCCAATACTTTGGCCACCTCATGAGAAGAGAAGACTCCCTGGAAAAGACCCTGATGTTGGGAAAAATGGAGGGCACAAGGAGAAGGGGACGACAGAGGACGAGATGGTTGGACAGTGTTCTCGAAGCTACAAACATGAGTTTGACCAAACTGTGGGAGGCAGTGGAAGACAGGAGGGCCTGGAGTGCTCTGGTCCATGGGGTCACGAAGAGTCGGACATGACTAAACGACTAAACAACAACAATGAACAACATGAAAAATTCAAAAACTGTGAGACGCCTCACAGAATCTGCTGTAAAGAATTGGTAATCTTTGCATGCATAAGTTCAACATGCGGAATCTTCCATGCAGTAGAAATGTGAATACTTTTCAGGATATTGAGATTTATGTTTTGGAGTAGTTTGTATTAGTTAAGCCCCACATCTGGAAATCATACTTCTTCCTAGGAAGCAAAACAGAAAAGAAAAACACAAAATGAAACTCTGCCATACATATTTCTTATGAAAAAATGAAATCTCAGGCATGTGGATAAAACATCAGCATGTGATTTCCACACACCAACTTTGCACTGACTCAATTAGAGATGTTCGCAATAGGATATAACAGGGTTAGCGAATCTCTTGTCCATGGGCCTATTAGGCCCCCAAGTCATCCCTATATGCCCTACACCTGACATCATATATAACGTCAGGTGTGGGGCAGATAAAGGCTAGGCTCTGCAACACCTGCAAAGCATTGCATACAGAGCTTTCCGAGATCAACACACAGCTATTCAAAAATAAATTGTGTTAAAAATGCATACATATAGATGAATTTTAGGGCATGCTCTGAGTATATACTGACCTCATAGAACCTTCCCAGAGCAGGATGAGCTTCCTGTCTCTTCTTAAAGCTTACATGGCTATAGGCTGGATGCAAAATTCCTTTGGGTGCCTCTGCCTTGGGAGGAAAAAGTGCCAGATTATATTGGTGCTCTCCTCTTTGAAAACCATGAAACACACCAAATGGTGTGTGTGGGTTGGGGGTGGGGGAGACATAGAGGAGGAGTAACCAGTGAGAGGTAAACTACCACCAGCAGACAGGAGAATGCCAGCATGCAGATTTGGAATGCAATCCTATACATGTCCGAAGTGGGGATGGACAACAGGTAAGAGCACACAGGATCACAACCTAAATTCACAAGAGTTGTAAAAATTAAACATCCACCGTTTTTATGTGAATGTGAAGACGCATGTCATAAACAAATGCAGCTGCTCAGTCAAATCCAGTTTGGACCTAAAAGAGATGGAAACATACGGAAGTACCCACAAAGTATCAAATGCACTGAAAAATACTGCTATAGGTTTGGGGGATCGGTCTGATTAGAATTGCTCTGCAACTCACCGAGACTGCAACATTATGCATGCTCACCTGGCAATAAATCCCACTGACCGGACTGAGGCTTATGTCTGAGTAAACATGCAAGGGATTCTGCTCTGATTCATCATTAAATGAACCAACTGGTTGTCCTGGGGAGAAAAGCAATACTGGGGTTAGTAGTAATAGTGAATGAATGAAAACTATAAAACATAATCTGTGACCCTGCCCAATTTAAATCACAGGTGGGCAAACAGTGGCCCTCTAATCTCATTTCCCCCTCAGCCTAGATTGTAACAGGGATAATAGGGATACAGGAGTACCAGTGATAGAACACTAATTCAAGGAAGGATGCTCTACCATGCAAGAACCCATGTTTGGAATTTAAAGAGCAGGCCCTCCTCCATTTGGCATGTACTGGCCACATTGGAAGGGGTGGGGATATCAAATATAGGAGCCATGCTCTTTCCCACTGCATGTTAACTCCTTTTTCTTATGAGAGAGGGAAGTGGTAGTGGGAAGGAGGGCTCACAAGCTTATTAGGGCAAGTTTTGGCTCTCCTGACATGGTTGAACACCAGCTTGCATCAATCCAGTTCAGCATGGTCAATGATCAGAGAGCAACACCTGGAGGGCCACAGCTCCCTACCACACAATTCTGCCCGTTCATGCTTGCCTTTGCAACATGAGGACATAAGGGAAATGCACAGTAGATTCAGCTGGCTTGCTTGCTTGCGAGCAAGTGTCAGACCTCACATCACTTGACTACATGCTTCAATCTAGACAATAGAGGAAGAGAAAGAAAGAGAGGATAAAGCATATCCTTACGTGTTTGGTTTTCTCTTTCTGGATGTCTGTGGAAAGCAAAGATTTGTGAGATATATAAAGCTGGAGGGGCAGAGAGAAGTTCTCTAGTTTCAAATGTGTATGTGGACAGACATAAAAAGTTTAGAGAGTTGATGTGTGTCTTAATTAGCTTCAATCTATTACTGTTTTAACTTTTTGTATACTTTAAATTATTGCTGTAAATTTTATTGTTTTATCTCTTTTGTAAACTGCTTTGAGGTTTTTTCTACAATCAAACAGTACAGTGGTACCTTGGGTTACATACGCTTCAGGTTACAGACTCCTCTAACCCAGAAATAGTACCTCGGGTTAAGAACTTTGCTTCAGGATGAGAACAGAAATCGTGCTCCGGCGGCAGCGGGAGGCCCCATTAGCTAAAGTGGTGCTTCAGGTTAAGAACAGTTTCAGGTTAAGAACGGACCTCTGGAACGAATTAAGTACTTAACCCGAGGTACCAATACAGTGGTATCTTAATGTATCTTGCAATAACATTCCAGCAGGCAACTTCATTTAAAGCCAAATTCTCTCTCTTCCCATGGAGAATCAGCTTCCCACACTTCCCTAAATCTACCTATGGGTGTTGTGCTCACAAAACAAGTATTAAAGAGTGGAAAGAAACTTAAGAGCCCCAGCTCAAGTGGAGAACAAACTGCCTCCATACAACATCTTGTCTGACCCTTCTTAAAAGAGCAGGCGCTTCACTATATTAACTCATTTTAAAAAATATGATTAGATATAGTGCCGTACAACATTACTACTTGATAAATGACTGTCTGAATTTACCCATCAAGTTTTGCTACTTCTTCTCCAATTTTATTACTGTGAGGAATAGAGGAAGTTGTCTCTGCTTGCAAATGAGTACCCTAATGTCTATCTAACCCAGGAGAAGATATGAAAGCATTAGTTCCAGTTACGATATGAAGCAAGTTTAGGCATGACCGATATCCAGAAAAGAAATTGTTGCCCAGAATATGCTGTTCTAAAGAACAAAGGTGCTTTACTATATTTCCTGCATATAGAATCACACTTTACTGAATTGAAGGCATAATTATTAAAGTCTCATTACACCTACCTGGTTGCTCTCCATTGGATTATACCTGAGAGAGAGATACAGTGTACATTGGATCATCTTAGATCAATCTCTTCATAGCTACTATGACATAACACCACAATTATAAGACACACTGAACCATAAGGCAGCAGACATAAATGGGGAAAGTTCTGGACAGCTATTCAAAACTTGCCCCTCCCTGGGACATCATCCCACTTGTCCCTCCAATATCAGCAACAGTAGTGGTCATTCCTTCAACATGACATTTGTTCATTATATGTGCACACACCTTGCAGTGTGATTGCTGGAGTGGACATGCAGACAGCATGCAGGAACATTATTATGCATATGTTGCCCATCCAGGAGCAATCAAGCAATAAGATGAACGTGTGCACAGGATGATGTCAGAGGCATCATCCACACCCACCACTGTCAGAGAAATAGACTGTGCAATAAGACTATACTGAAGTAAGTTGGTTGTAACATAAATCCTAGCAAGGCAGGATTGCAGAGGGCTCATTTTAGCAGTTAGTTTTAATTATGATTGCTATATTTTGCTTGAACATTACCTCTTTTCTCCAGCACATAAAACAGTGCAGCACAAATAAGGATGGAAGCAGTTGTAATTCCAAATCCTAATGCTAAGGGCAGGAAAAAAATAATGCATGCATCAATCCACTTTATTCAAAGGATGGAAAAGCTAAGACAGCAAAAGGAAATGTGTTATACAATGGTGCATGCATAGTAAAGGTGGATACATCAAGCAACATTCAATGATAGTAAACCCTGAAAGTCTGAATTGCTAAAAAGAACAGTTTTTATTTTCATTTGTTAGATTTATATACTTCCCTTCATCAAAAGATCTCAGGGCAGTTCACAAGAAGCTGATTTGTCCAGATTTCTGAAATGTGGCATGGAGTACCCACAGTTTGATCATTGTGATTTCAGACATGCCCACTGAAACATGCTTATGATACAGTGTGTCTGCTGCTATGGAACTTACAACAGAGCAACTCATGGGATCAACAAGGAGGTTTGGTAGCAAGAGTCTGGTAACAAGTAATAGATGTACTAGGCTTTGGGTTGGGGGAACCTCAGGTGCAAGGGCTAAATGTCTAGCCCTAGGGGTGTTCCCCAGGCCACAACCTTCACCAGCCCTGCTTTGCATCCTCTTGAGTGATTCTTGGCTGCCTGGAATGTATTACTGAACTCTAATGCTTCTTGTCTGCCTTGGTTGTAGAGTCAGGTGTGTGTGCATAGAAAGATAAAATCCAAATGTGTTGTTCTGCCCACTTTTGCTTCTGGTTTCACCCACCAATGGCATGTGACCCTCAAAAAGTTGCCTCAAAGGGCATATGGCCACATTCAACCCTAGAATAGATTAAAAACTACTTACCTAAGGAAATTTCAAAACCTGTGAATTGAAAGCAAATGGGTTATACAAAAATTCTCTCGCTCTCTCTTTTTTACTTTTCAATTTGTATTGCCTTTTACAAATTTATAAGAAACAGGATGTCAACCAACCAATCTTCCAGTCTCTGATCACTTAGGTTTTACAGTGGTACCTCGGGATGCGACCGGGATCCGTTCTGGAGCCCCGTTCACATCCCGAACGGAAAGCAAGATGCGACGGCACGTCTGTGCGTGCTGCGTTTGGCCACTTCCACGCATGCGCATGACATCATTTTGAGCATCTGCGCATGCACGAGCGGCAAAACTCAGAAGTAACGCACTCCATTACTTCCGGGTTGCTGCGGAGCGCAACTCGAACGCGCTCAACCCGAAGCACATTCAACTCGAGGTATGACTGTATAATCTATGGCTTCAAAATGACCTATATAATTTCTTTCCTTTTGAGATGAGAATCATCCCTTCCTATTCTTTCCTGCTAGAGTATCATTGCATAAGGGATTCAGCATAGGGACTTCTCAGTGGCTTTCAGGAGCCCTGGAACAGATAGCAGTGCCTGCTGGGCTCTGTAATTCATGGGACTTTTGCATCTTCACCCAGTGATGGAACGTCAATTCATCCAATAGCCAAAGAAAGCTTACAGCAAGAGTCCTGTGGCATTTGGGTTTTAGAGTAAAAACTCACTTACCTAAGGAACTTGCATTACTTGAGACATCTGTGAAATGGATAAAAGTGGATAACTGGATAAATGTGATAGATGTAATTGCATTTCTTACCACTTCTGCTGTAGCTGAGAATTCACTCCATTGCTATGGTGCTTGCAGAGGTATAATCAACATAGGGGTTACTGCCTATTTGAAGATCAGCCAAGCTGTTATAAATGATTCACATTTATTACAATATCATTTAGAGCAGCTGGAGGAAAGAAATGCCCTTTTGTGCTTTCTGCTCAGGAGGTACTGAACATAATGGTTAGTTGCCGACTAATTTAGGTTTGCATTCCTATACCTACTTACCTAGAAGTAAACCTCAATAAATTAATGACACGTCTCAGTAGACATTAATAGGATTGTGCATTAGTCACACTTATTCCCATTGAAATCCATGTGACAGTTATTATTAGTCTCACTAGTTTCAATGGGATGTGCAACTAAATTACTCTTGATCCAGTCCAAATGTTTACCCCATTTACTGAAAATTCAATAAGCCATAGACCCAATAAAACATAAGCAAGAACTTAAACAGCACACACATATACAATCAATAAACAGCTGAATCATAAACTCTATCAAATAGCTGGGGGAATAGTTCTATCCCCAAAACAAATGGATGTTAATGATGGTGCCAGGTTAACTTCACTGATGATGGGAGCTTTCGTCCAACATCTTCTGAAGGCTATCAGGTTAGGGAAGGCTGATTTATACCCATATGACAGATTTAGCTGTGCCACTCTCTTATAGTTTACCAGTATATTTAAATCTCTGCTTCTAAAAACACTTTGTCTTTTGTAGTGGTGTAAGACTTTCCAGTAACTTCCCCTTTTCACCATCTATCTTTCAGATATACGGTTCTCAAAGGTTCCTTCAGAACTTTTATTTTCTTCACCTTTGCTCTACGGTATCATGACATGCCGCGCACCCAGTAACTAACAAGGCTTTCAGCTAAACAGCTGATGAAATCCATCTTATGTGCTTATGTAAGATTTACAATAGGCAGCTCTAACGTGTATGTGACCTGTGGACTTGTTGGATATTGTTTGTAGGGTATATGTGTTTATCTATTACTAGAGCCACTTTATTTGAGGTTAAGAATGGACTCATTTCCTACTCGGCTTGTTAAAGTATTATCATTGTCATTGTTTTGTATTTGAACTTCAAACTTCATGATTCTACACAATTTGAAAGTGAAACAGGGTCATCCACATTTAAAGTAATGGCTTCAGTGCACTCTGGGACTTCCCAGGTATGCGGAAGTGGGTATATTTTTAATAAAACATGAAATGAGAACTGAGACTATTTATTGGCTTCCAGGACCATGAGGCTGTCAAAGCCTCTTGAGCCCTTAACACTTTAAAGTATCCTGTAGGGAGAATTATGGTGGGATGACTAGCAGAAACTATTCCCACATAAACAGCAGTAAAAGCAGGGCTGCAGGTAGTGGGGAGGGGCTGTTGCCCCTGAACCTAAGCATTCTGAAGGATGAAAAATACAAAGGTGTCATTCCCCTACTCACAAGCCCTAAACAGCATTATAAGCCTAATGTTAGGGGTGAGGTTTACCTTAGATACTTTGCTGTGGCTTCCCACTTGTTACAATCATTCCTTCTAATAAGGAGCTAGGATTGCCATGGCTCAGTTTGATAGGAGAGTGCCTAATTAGCATAATTACCTGCATCTTCATTGAAGTCTGTTCTCCAAGTCCCCCTTTCTAAAAAAAATAAATAAAAAATGAGGAGGAATCAGCAGCAATCAAAGTAGTTGAAACCTGAAGGAAATAAACTCAAAGCATTTTGGGTAGCATTAATGTATCACAATAGAAAATTTCCATTCTTGATTCACCAAGAAAATTACAGTTTTCTATAAAAACTATTTCATTTGTAGTTTTCTTACCTGAAACATAAAGGTTCTTGGCATCACTTGGAGAGGAATTATTCACCTGGTTGTTTTTATCCTTGTTCTGGTACATGCAAGAAAGCTGTCTTGTACTTGCTCTTGATATTTTATAAGAAAATTTATATAAAAATATTGCATTCTTTTGCTTCTGACTTTTGATTTCTACCCCGTCTTCACAGAGAATAATTCTGGTAAAAGGAGAGACTGGTGGTATTTGACACTTAACCAAAACTTCATCTGCTTCATCACTGGGTGAGGTTTCCAGAAATATGTTTGGTTTGGTAAGAGTACCTGTAGAAATGAGAAAACAACCCACTTAATTACATACAAATATGAAAGTTTGTGTAGCATTTGACTAGTTTATAATTTTCAGTCCATTTCCTGTGCCAGGAATCCATTAAAGACAGTGTATATTTTGTCCAGACAACTCATGATATTGTTGAACATAATATAGCATATTGTTTTAAAACTGTAAAATTCCAATCAATGGGGACTCCAGTCAGGATTTGTACTGTGGTGAGCAGTTCCTCTCATTGTTCTCTTCCCAAACATTCCTCTGGAGCTGCTATTGGCATCAGGAAAAAAGTTCCCGTTCGTACAAAATGGAAACTAGCTTCTAATGCAAATAGCAGCAGCTGCTAAGTGATATTGGGACCATGATGGGGCAGAAGGGTAAACTCCTTCTCCCTGTGCTCCACAATGGGAGCAACACTTACCTGGGGTGCGACAAGTCTGTTGCTTTGTGAGATAAATACCTTAGGTTTTTTTTTTTTAAAAAATCATGCAACATGAGTATGATTGTGTACATTGAATTAGGACACAACTGATATTACTAGCACTCCTCTAATAGTATATTGGCATTCATCTATATAGCTATGGTGCAAGAGTTATTATTAATCAATACTAACTAGTCACGTGTTTCTAATAACCTCCTGCACTGCCATCAGCAGTATGAATGAATGAATCTTTATTTGCATCAGCTACCAGCCATCACAATGAAACAAACAAAATGTGGTATACAGAGTATAAAAGTAAATAGTCAAATAATGGATCTTATTCTAATTGCCCCAGCTAAAAACCTTGCAACCTTTGCTGTTACCTGCTTATCTTGGTCTGCCAAGAGAAAGGACACTGTAACAGTGGTTGGGTGACCAGGAATGGTCAATAATAGAGGAGTGATAACCATACTCCTCAAATCTTTATAAAGAGTGCAAGCCAGAAGGACAAGAGCAGTATGAACTGCATGTGCTTGATGAACTGGACTGTGCTCCACAAAAACCTAGATAGATAATATATTCAGATTCCACTCTGTTAGAGGTTCACATAGTCAGTGGCATAGCATGGGTTGCCAGTGCCCAGGGCCATGTAGAGGGATGGAAATAGATGGAGTACACCTGTGCATTCATCCGCCTAATGGCATCCACATCACCCAGGAGATCGCAGCCACAGAGATAAGAAGAGTCATTCCATTTTCAGCAGAGGTCACTTCTGGTTCGCATGGAGAAGCCGTTTTCAATGGAGCCCAGTGATAGAAGCACACAGCTGTATTGAAGCAGCACCAGGTGTTGGAATTTTATGCCCCTTAACAATTTTGTGCCTGGGGCAACCACCCATGTGCCCCACCATGCTACACCACTGCACATAATTCTGCTCATAAACAAGCCCTCTAGCCTAAACTAGAAGTGTGCCAGTCTGTTAAACATGTGTACATCTAGTTTGGTTCTTAGCTGCCTTTAAATATCTACACAGAGGGAAGGCCCTTTAAATATATTTCTACTGGATGAGCTATTTGCACACCAAAAAACAATCCTTACAAAACTAAAGCTGTTTTTCCTGTCTGTCTAGGGTCCAAGTCACATGTTACCCTTTTAAGGAGGTATCACCCATTTCCCAAACTTCCCACACCTATATTAACAGGATAATAATGGCAAAGAAGTGGTGTGGAAATAGCAGTGAGGTGGAAAAAGCAAGATTTTTTTTTGCAAAAAGGGCAACACCTCCCACAATGAGAGCAACACTTACCTGGGGTGGGACAAGTCTCTTGCCTTGTGAGATGAATACCTTTAAAAGTGAACATACTGTAATAAGCTTTTAGTAGCAGGAAATACTGATTTTGACCTCTTTGAAAGGCAGCAGTGTCATTCAGATGCATGAATCCTTGAGATTACTTAGATTTGCACCTCAAATAAAGACTGCATTACTCTGAAATCACAACTCAATATATGATGCAAAAATACTGTGATATCATTTATTTTCCCATTGTTATTTCCCATTACTATGCACTAAAATTAATATGAACATTTGGGGTAGTTTGGAATATGACACTGGAGTGTTTGATCAAAGAGAGGAGAGTCAAAATCCCATTTCTACAGTAGCACTTTTTAAAATAATTTTTATTTTTGTATTTTCTATTTTACATAAACAAATGAATTAAAAACATAAACATACAATCCCTTCTGACTTCCCTCCCCGCACTGTGAATCTTAGTGTAATGATTTCCCCTCTGCAACTCTATCATAACTCTATTTTTATAAATCCTTTGTCAATCCATAGTTCAAATTGTTACCACAAGTTTTCTGTCAATCCTACCAATGTATGTAGTTGTTTACAATAGCTTTTCAAATAAATTATAAACTTTCCCCATTCTTTGTTAAATACCTCCTCACTACAGTAGCACTTTTGGAATCTCCACTCACAATTTTCCAGCAATTGCTTTTTGTATCCAAGTCCTTGGATGACTGACAACAATGGGGAAAGGAATTTAGCAACTCTGTAAGAGTGGTTCTTTTTCCATTATAATCCCGACTATTATATAATTGCAGTTTTTAAAATGCTCCAAGCACCAATTGGCTAGATAAACTAACATGATTCTTTATATTATATTATAAATCACTCCACTTTAAATGGATTCCCTGTTAACCCTTAATATACTCACAGCAAAGGCAGAGCCCCAGCAGAAGTATCATTACAAATATAGCAGCAGTTCCTCTTTGTGCAAACCGGACAGAGGTTTCTGCTGCTCACACAGCATTTCCTACGCTTCAGAATGAGATGCTTTGTGCATAGCACACCATTCCCTATTCCTAATTTGCATGAAAGTTTGAAACAGAAGCAGTACACTTAATACGGACCTGCAGTTTATATGCCTCTGTACCACACAATAACCTTTGCCAATCACATATAAAATAGTGGCATCTATGCTGGTTTGGTCATGTCCACAAAATGGAAATGGCAGTACAGTGGTACCACAGGTTAAGTACTTAATTCGTTCCAGAGGTCCGTTCTTAAGCTGAAACTGTTCTTAACCTGAAGCACCACTTTAGCTAATGGGGTCTCCCACTGCTGCTGAGCCGCCAAAGCATGATTTCTGTTCTCATCCTGAAGCAAAGTTCTTAACCCGAGGTACTATTTCTGGGGTAGCGGAGTCTGTTACCTGAAGCGTATGCAACCTTAAGTGTATGTAACCCGAGGTACCACTGTATCTCTAAGGATGTGCTCTGGGGCGAGCTGGCTTCAGGCACCAGGTCCATTGACAGACCAACTCTACATTACAAAGATGTCTGCAAACATGGAATGAAGGATGGCAACATTGACCCGTCACTGCATGGGAATCCCTGACTTTCCTGGGAGTAAGCCCCATTGAATTCAGTACTGCTTACTTGTGGGTGGACACATAGTTGCTTGCACTGTTTGCTGACAAGCTCCTCCTCCTCCTCATTGTGTGGCAAGGTCCCACCCCGCCCCGCACGGATGCAAGTATTTAAGTATTTACTGGGCTAAAAAAGGCAACAACTTTATTGGCTACAGATGATGAGCTATATTGGTTTAGGCATTGGATCTAACTGACTACGGTATATCTGACTCCAGCCCATCTGCAAGGAGTCCAGCAAGGGTTAACCACCAGTAGGGGGAGTCCTGCTGATGCACACCAACTAGGAGCTCCGCCGGGGGTCACTGATAGGGGTTGTTCCTAAGGCCCTAACCTCCCTAGGCTTCAGACAGGGCCACGCCCCCCAGAATCCTTTAACGGAATACCCTTCAATATGCGGGGCAGGTGATGGCGCTACCTCCCTTCTCCCCTTCTTCAGAAATATTCCAATGCTTAACCGCCACTCGAGCCAAAAGGCTCGCGGCCAATACTCTCACACCTGCAACAAATTCCTAATGCCACCAATTATATCACCCAGCCAAACATCATTTCCTCAGGCATGGTCAGTCAGGGACAGTGTTTTCCTGGCAGGTGAACTGCTGCAACATGTGGAGAGCCACAGCACAGTGTCTGCAATTTGCAAATGTGCACACAGGCCCAGAAAGCTCTCTGTTCAAACACAAGCTACCCATCATAATGACAGGTGGTTTTTGCTAGTATATTTTCTCAGTTACAAACCAGTTTCATGTGTGTCAAGAGGGTGTTATTGCAAACAAAGATCCGTGTACAATAGCTGGATGGTTAATAGGTAACTAATCCTTAAGTTTTCCTGGTCAATGTTCACGTCGTGTTGTGCTTTATGATTTCTCTACTCTCACTTTCATTTGTGCCACAGCAACATGCGTGTCGAATGCAATTCTCATTTCAGTAGCTGGGGACTGAACTTTGGGATTACTTCTAATGCTCAGGAAAAGGTACATTTTTGTTGTTGTTTCTCTCTCTCAAAATAACATGAAAATGGGTGATATATGGTTTAAAAGGGGGGTGGGCGGTGAGCAGTTCATGATATATTTTTGGATTATGATCTGTTTCTTTGTCTCCCTCCCATTATATGCAAGTTAGTTCACATACCCTTGGATATCAAATTGCGACACTGATTGAACTTTCGCCCTCCTGGTAGTTTATGGGACTCAAAAAACCCATGGTTTCAATAACAAACACCCTGCATTAAAAATGCAAGGTACATTTTTAGCACTTGACAAGATAAATAGATTGTATTATAATTCTACTGGGAAAATTGTTAAATGGTGGTTATGGTTACATACAGTGGTGCCTCGCAAGACGAAATTTATTCGTTCCGCGAGTTTTGTCGTCTTGCGATTTTTTCGTCTTGCGAAGCACGGTGTCGGGAAAGTTTTGGAAAAGCTTCAAAAATCACCAAAGTCTTTAAAAACCTCAAAAAAGGCTACCACACCGCGTTCTATGAGTTGCTCCTCGAAGTCAAGTCGCAGCTGTATTAACGGTGTTAAGAAAAGGAAACAAACTTGCAAGATGTTTCCGTCTTGCGAAGCAAGCCCATAGGGAAAATCATCTTGCGAAGCAGCTCAAAAAACAAAAAACTCTTTCGTCTAGCGAGTTTTTTGTCTTGCAAGGCATTCGTCTTGCGAGGTACCACTGTACTCTGGTTGTATACTCATCACTGCCTTAAAATGCAGCTATGTCATTCTTTTTCTCATTTCAGTTTGAAGCTGGTCTGAGGGAAAAAAACATCAAAATGCAGCTTTTCATGAAGAAGTTCAGGGTAGATCTATAATGTGGTTAATGTTTCATGTACATGACTTTTCACACGATCTGTGGGAGTGCACTGGGTGCAGAGTAATCAGAAGTGTGCACCAGCCTTGTTGCACTAGTTGTGTCAGTGACCTCTTGTTTGTAAAATGGGTTGTGTTTGTCTTATTTTTGCTTATACAGTTGTAGCTCGGGTTACAGACGCTTCAGGTTACAGATTCCGCTAACCCAGAAATAGTACCTTGGGTTAAGAACTTTGCTTCAGGATGAGAACAGAAATCGCATGGCGGCAGCAGGAGGTCCCATTAGCTAAAGTGGTACCTCAGGTTAAGAACAGTTTCAGGTTAAGAACGGACCTCCAGAACGAATTAAGTTCTTAACCCGAGGTACCACTGTACTATTTTTTTAAAAGATGGAGATGATTGAGACGATGGTGGTGATTTTATATAAAAAAAGCTTTTCCCACCTTTCTTATAGCAGTTCATCCTCGGTGAAAGGTCAGTCCCAGAAATTTTTGATCCCTCTGAAACAGCCTGGTAGAAAGGCAGATAGCTGTGGTAGTTACAGTTATACAAAACAGGTTAAATGTGATCTTCCTTAATTTTGAATCAGGTGGGCTGTTTTTGCATGTGCATGAATGTTACAGAAAGCCATTTCATGTTATTGGCACATATTTATTTTTGCTGGCATTGTTGCTGTTATTTCAGATCAGAACAGCCTGAAGAGGAACAAGAGACTTGGCTCTCACGGAATGTAAAATTTTTGCTTCCTTCTATGCTGTAATCCTGGGAACACAAATGTCTTTATTAGGTAAAAGGTTCAGAGAAACACCAGAAATGTGCTGTGTTGTCAAGACTTGGTAAAGTACTTAAATGCAGGCTATGAACCAGAACTTCATATGTGCTTGAGGCTCCTATTGCTTCATAGCTGATGGATTCCTACAAATTAATGGGCCTTTCCCCCACCTCCCATAATTCTCATCAAGGAACCCTTACTTGTATATATCAGGTTACCAGAATCAGGAAACGTGTGCCTGCTTTCGGGGCTATGCTCCTATTACAGATGCTGAGGGAATCCAAGCAACTAAATCTATACCTTTTTGTAGTTCAGGATCAACTTTAAATCTCATTAAAACACATCAGGAACTTTAAACTTTTTAAAAAAGTGTTTATTTGTGACTTCCTGTTGAAGTCATTAAGAGACAAAATACAAACATAAACATATCCAAAACTTGTGCGTATACAGGCCTAATTTCATCTGAAGAAAAAGCAGCTGCAGTGTTTCACATCACAATCTAGATTATGAGGGGAGGGAACAGGACTTGCCAACTCCTTCCCAACCAGACCTGAAGGTGTTTTTTGAAGCATCTTCAGGAACAAACAGTACCAATGGGAGGGGTGGGGACTCAAGGATAAACTGTTTTGAAGTCCTTGATCTAGAGCACATTCTGGATTATTTACATGGCTGCATTATTTACAGAATTAAAAAAAAACCTCATTTTGAACTTTTTTGGGGGTAAAAAAAAATATGAAGAACACAACCTGAAAAGAAATATCTAAGGCAAGACTTCCTACAGCCAACCATCAGCAAGTTAGAATTAGTGTAGAGGGCAAGGATCTGGAGCTGAGCCCAACAGACAGATAAAACAAAACTGTCTACAACTGCTGGCCACAGCAACTGAAGCCAATTGCAGCAACTGCAATAAGATAGGTCCACAATACCTCACAAGACTGCTCTGCAACTCATATGGAGTCCACATATCACAAGGGGCCACAAGACACACAATTCTGATAGGGCCTTCCCATACTTTGAAAAGGAATTGAACCTGGAGCTGACTGCATGAAAACCCATTTTCTACCACAGGGTGTTGTAGCAGGATTTTAAAGGTTTCTATTGGTTATGAAAAATTCACTCACTATTCCCCCCCCCCCCAAGGTCCATCTGGACATTTAAGAGCATCACATAATGAAGGAGCACAATTTCTAAATACCTTAAGTCTCTCTGCTTCAGGTAATGATGACTACTCTGTCCTGTGTGGGAGAGGGGGGTGGCACAGCTTATGGTATGTGTAAAATTATATTAAATAGTATTTGAAGTGATTAAATCATGTAAGTTACAAATTGCATATTAAAACATATATTAGGGAAAGTAAATACAAAAATATATTAGGGAGATTAATGTACAAAAATAGATTATACTAGGCCAGCTTTTGTAAGGAAAAATATGTGTATTAGGAAAAATCCACAAGAATCTGCACAAATTCGTGTGCTGAATATCTATTTATATATCTCCAGCTCTCCAAAACAAACTGATGAGAAAATGGGCCAAATGGGAGATTAGAGAAATGAGAAACTAAGAGACATGAGTCTGTCATGAGCCATGGTCCACATATTTAAACATGCAATGCCCCAAAATGTGAGACATGGTAAAAATCTATTGGGATGAGCATGCTAAGTCCTCAGCAAAGACATTTGCTGAAAATATGGGGCAATGCAGCCTAGAAAGATGTAATTCATTTACTACCTTCTTTGTTGTGTTTTTAATATTCTGTTAGGAGCTGCACAAAGTGGCTTGGGAAACCCACCCAAATGGGTGGGGTATGTATGTATGTATGTATGTATGTACAAATAAATAAATAAATAAATAAATAAATAAATAAATGTTATATTAACTTCTTTGACATTTCTGTTTTGCAGGAAACTCTACCTCAAATTGCTCTGCTTGGAAGTCTGTTTCCTGGGCACTGCTTGCAGTAGCCATCATAGCTATTCTTGTTTTCATTGCCATATTGATTTGTTTCATTAAAGGTAAATATATGTTTGGTAAAAGGAGTGGGATTTCTTCAATTTCCCCTTTGTTTACAGGTGGGAAATCATGGTTAGGTCTTTAAGTTTAGTTTCAGAAGTTGTTAATGAACCCTCAAAATAATGCCATAAATGTTTCAGAGGGAGAATGCAGAAGTATTCACCATGAGGAAATTGCATCTTCTTTTAAAACTTGCCTCTCTTTTTTAAAAGACGTTCTGAAGCTGGGGGCGGGGATAGGAATTCCTATTCCAGTTCACTTATTGGTTTGCCAAAATGACTCCCCTCGCAAATATTTTGTCCCTTTCATTCATGTTGCATTGTGAGCTTGGTCAAAATGCTTCTCAGATTTGGCTGAACCTTGTGCAGCAAAATGAATGAATATGCAATATTTCATGAAAATAAGGAAACACTTTTGTTTTAGGTGTATTTGTGTCATCCATTGTTTCTATGATTTTTAAAATGCATCAATGACTCATACTTCGAAGGACCCGGTTTTGCAAAGTATTGTAAGCTCCCACTCAGTTTCAATTACAAATAAGTACCGTATTTTTCGCTCTATAGGACGCACTTTTTCCGCTCCAAAAATTAAGGGGAAATGTTTGTGCGTCCTATGGAGCGAATGCAGGCTCCTTGGCTTCAGTGAAAGCAACGTGAAGCCTCCAAAGCGCAAAGGGAGCGCTCCCTCCGCGCTCCAGAGGCTACGTGTTGCTTTTGCTAAAGCCTGGAGAGCGAGAGGGGTCGGTGTGCACCGACCCTGCTCGCTCTCCCGGCTTCAGGGATAGCCGCCTGAAGCCTTTGGAGCGCAGTGGGAGCTCGCGTTGCGCTCCAAAGGCTTCAGGTTCCTTTTGCTAGACTCTCCCGGCTTCAGCGAAAGGAACCCGAAGCCTTTGGAGCACAGTGCGAGGTCCCGCTGCGCTCCAAAGGCTTCGGGTGGCTATCCCTGAAGCCTTTGGAGTGCAGCGGAACCTCGCGCTGTGCTCCAAAGGCTTCGGGGTTAGCTGCGCAAAGCCTCCGCAAGGCAGTGGGGTGCCTTCACCCTACTGCTCTGCGGAGGCTTCAAAGGCTGTCCCCGAAGCCAGAACAGTGAGACGGAGCGCTGCGCAGCGCTCCGTCTCACTGTTCTAGCTTGGGGATGGCTGCGCAAAGCCTCCCCAGGGCAGCGGGGTGCCTTCATCCCACTGCCCTCTGGAGGCTTCAGGGGCTGTCCCAGAAGCCAGAACAGCGAGACGGAGTGCTGCGCAGCGCTCTGTCTCACTGCTCTAGCTTTGGGGTTACTGGCGCAAAGACTCCACAGGGCAGCGGGGTGCCTTCATCCCGCTGCCCTCCGGAGGCTTGGCAGGCCTTCCCAGAAACCTCCGCAGGGCACGGGGATGAAGGCTCCCTGTGCCCTGCAGAGGCTTTGCGCAAAGCTAGACCAGCTATCCCAGCAGCTATCCCAGAAGCCAGATCCCTCTTGCTGTTCTGGCTTCTGGGATTCAGAATTTTTTTTTCTTGTTTCCTCCCCCCCCCAAACTAGGTGCGTCCTATCATCTGGTGCATCCTATAGAGCGAAAAATATGGTATCTGATCTCCCTGTTTGGTCTTTGTTTCTGATTCTCCCTCAAGGAGCTTTGTGGCTCAGTCCCACTTCGCCTTGTTGCCCCTTCCTTACACCTACAGTCCACATATCCCCCAGGCTGAATTGCCTCTCCCAGTTCAGCTCCATGCTGAAGACAACCAAACTACACGCCTGTTTGTTCCCTTCAGCTTTACAAACTCCAAGGTTTGTGCCTGTGCATCTGCACAACCCTCATCCTTGGCTATTTTGAGGCAGGTTGGGCGAAGGCTGAGGGGAGGAATAGGATGGCCAACCTGTCTTATCTCTACCACTTTAGGAGAAATGTGCCTCCCTTTGCTCTTCTGCATTTAGACTACCAGGATTCTCAGATGTGGCACACACTCTTAAAAATATAGCATAATAATAGCTACTTTCTCATCCTGTATTAGTAATGGAAAACATAGAGCCCATTTCACCTATAAACATGCATTGCTTTTCTGCGTTCCTTTTCCAGAGAAACGTAAGAATTCACAAAGTAGATATGGTGAAGAAAGCAGAAGAATAATACCAGGTGAGGTTCCTGCTTGAGTTAATCAAATGATGTGCTTCTGGATATTTATGTGTGTACATTTATGCTTTAAAGCACTGAAAACCAGCACTGCTGTACAGTGATTAAAGCTAAAGCAAAGCTGTGCATGCAAACTTCCATTCAGCTTTGAAAAGAAAGTACCATTACAAGGAAGTGTTATAGGGAAAGGAGGATTAGTGTTGAAAAAAGGCAGAGGAATTGTTGTGGTTAGGAAGGGGGCTGGGGGTGAGCAGGCAATGATTCAGATGCACCTGATCCAATCTCCGCAGACCAATGTTGTACGTCACAGTACACCTTCTGAATCCAAGTCCTCTCAGGCATTTTAGTGGTGATGAGGGAATTTCCTCTTGCCAATGAAAGGAACTTTTGTGGAGGGAATCGGATGGTGTACAGCACAGGACATATTATCCTCCCAGCTGAACTGCCTCTCTTGCTTCTGCTCCATACTGAAGACAAGCAAACCACAGGCTGGTTTGTTCTCTTCAGCTTTATGAATTCCCAAGTCCAGGCTGACTGAGGGCATGTACCTGTGCAGCTGCACGCTCCTCATTTTGAGCCAGGTTGGCTGATAGTAAACAATATAATAACAGAAAATACTGACATTATGAAAGGTACAAGACAAGGGTGCTCACTATCACCATTATTATTAAATCAGTACTGGACGTCTTCCTAAGGACAATAAGGAGAAATGGAAAAAATAAAAGGAATTTCAGTAGGGTCGGAAGGAACATAAAGTTAAAGCCTTTGCAGATGACTTGCTATTAACAATAGAAGAAACGTTAACCAGTGCTAAGGAAGTATTAGAAGAGATAGAACAATTTGGGCATGTAGCAGGTTTTAGATTGAACAAAAAGAAAACTAAAATGGTAGTTAAAAATATGAATCAAGACTTGGTGGATATGTTGCAGCAACAGATTTGTATAGAAGCTGTCAAAAAAGTTAAATATTTAGGAATATGGTTAACATCAAAGAATATAGACCTTTTTCAGAATAATTAATGGAATGGAATTAAAAGAGATCTGGAAGTATGGGGAAGGATTTCTGTCATTAAAATGAATGTGCTACCAAAGATGTTATTTTTATATCAAGCAATTCCAATAATCAAGGGGGCAGCAATTTTTAAGGAATGGCAGAAGACGGTTTCAAGATATATCTGGCAGGGGAAGAAACCAAGAATTCAAAATAAGTTGTTAACAGATGTTAAAGAAAGAGGGGGCTTCGCCCTGCCAGACTTCAAATTGTATTATGAAGCATCTTGCCTCTATTGGTTAAAGAAAAGGATGTTGTTAGAAAATTCAGATTTGTTGGATTTGGAGGGTTATGTTAATAGATTTGGTTGGCATGCATATTTATGGTATAACAAGACAAAAGTCCATAAAGGATTTGGTAACCATATATTCTGAAGATCTCTATTTGAAATATGGGATAGTTATAAAAACCTATTAGAACGTAAAACACTGTGGTGGGTTTCCCCATTAGAAGCGATGAGTGTGAAAAAAACAAATATGAGTAAAAATTGGGTCACATATGAAAAATTAATACAAAAGGAAGGAAGTAAATGGAAACTGAAACCCTATGAAGAGGTTAAAGGATATGTGAATGACTGGCTGCACTATTGACAAATTGATGAAATGTTTAAACAGGATTTGAAGGAAAAAGGGATTTTATTATAATAAATCAAAATTCGAAATAGAAATATTGAATAATGATTATAAAATTTTGTCTAAAATGTATAAATTGCTGTTCAAATGGCATTTGAAAGATAAAGAGGTAAAGTCGGTTATGATACATTGGGCCAAAGATTTTGGGTATCATATACAGTTAGAAGATTGGGAAAAACTGTAAAGAAGGATTAAAATTCACAGCATGCGATGCTTTGAAAGAAAATGTGATGAAAATGATGTATAGGTGGTATATCACCCCTGTGAAATTAGCAAAATGTATAAAGTAAGTAATAAATGTTGGAAATGTAAAGAAAAAGAAGGAACTTTTAACCACAAGTGGTGGGAATGTAAGAAAGTGAAACACTTCTGGGAGATGATATACAATGAGATGAAAAAGATGTTGAAATATACATTTACTAAAAAACCAGAAGCATTTTTACTTGGCATTGTAGGGAAGGATATCAACAGACAGAATTGTAAGTTGTTTTTATATGCAACAACAGCAGCAAGAATATTACTGGCAAAAAAATGGAAGCTAGAAGAATTACCGATGAAAGAAGAATGGCAAATGAAATTAATGGACTATGCAGAATTAGATAAATTAATAGGAAGAATTTGAAACCTGCGGGACCAAAGATTCTTAGAAGACTGGAGTAAATATTTGAACTATTTGAAAAGCAATTGTAATAAACAGATTGTGCTAGTAGGGCCGCAAGTTCTGTAAGGAGGATTATGTGAAATATTGCAAGGAAGACTATGAAGAGAATTATTAGTTAATGATAATTAAAAGTAATAGAGAAACTAAGAAATGCAGAACAAGTGATAAAGAACGGAAAATCTTCAGAGGTTGTTTACGGAAGTCTAAAACATTGTATAAGATAAGAAGTTATGTTAAATGACTTTTGGAAATGATATGTTTAAAAATTAATAAAAATGTATATATATATGGAAATGTAATTCATTCTTTTTTTCCCCCTCCCCTGCCCTCTTTTGCAGATAAACTAATAGCAGAGAATGGTAAGTTTTGCAAACTCTTTCACTTTTTGAACATGCAGAATCCAAGTGACTTCCTCCATTTTGCCATCCCGTATATGTTTACTGAGCAGCTTGGGTCTGCTAGAACTTAGAACATGCCCCAGAACTATATCATACCCTCCAACATTTCTCTGATGAAAATAGGGGCATCAAGTGTCTACTTTGGTTTTGATCTGTGCAATGAATGTTGTGTCATTGCCAAACAGCCATACTTGGTCTTGACATGGCAGCTAGGATTGTTCTGTGTCTCTATAAATCGGAAAATAAATGTAATTCTTTCTTTTTTTCTCCCCCCGCTCTCTTTTGCAGATAAATTAATAATAGAGAATGGTAAGTCTTCCAAAATCTTTCAGTTTTTGAACATGCAGAATCCAAGTGACTTCCTCCATTTATCCATCCTATGTATGTGGGTGGGGTGGGAGGGTTACTGAGCAGCTTTGGTCTGCTAGAACTGTCAACTTGCCCCAGAACTAGTTTGGATTTGATCGGTGTGGTGGCATTATGGGATGCCAGAGGCTTCTCTGGGACCCCAAAGGGGGAGTAGGAACAGTGGTGCCCTTCCTGACAAGTGGTGGGGGCGTACTCCCCCCCCCCGGATCCTAGCCTGACCCTGCTTCAGCGAATGGGGAGGAAGGCTGAGACTCAGGCTGTGCCAGAGGGTGGAGCTGTCAGAGTGGGTGACTTGCCTTAGATCCGCCCCTTGCCCACTTAAGCAGCCCGTCCCTGGGGCACCACCTATTTGAATGTTGTGTCATTGCCAAACAGCCATACTTGATCTTGACATGGCAGCTGGTAGTGCTCTCCATCTCTATAAATCAGAAAAGAGATGCTTTTGACACCGAAGCCTCAAGAAAAAAGCACCGATGCAAGCACCTAAAATATTTCTCCTTTCACCTTCCTCCCTGCAATCCCTTTCATTTTGACTCAACCTGAACCAAAGGTTCCCTTCCTCTGATGGAAGGAGTATCCTATTTATTATAAAATGCATATCCCATAGAGGTATCAAAGCATCTTACAACAATAAAATATACAATATGCAAAGTTTAAAACATAAATTAAACATTTGACAGAAGACTTCCATCTGTGGAAAGGATCCTTTGGCTACAAGTATTTGTTACTAATTCTAGATTACAAACTGATTTTCTTGGAATTTGTTTTTCTTTTTTAATTTGAATGTGGCTCTTCATTTCTAAGCCATGCAAATTTTCTTTTGCAGGAATCTTGAAGATCGAAAAAGGCAAGTAGTCTAACATTTTGTATATGTGTTGCAAATATATATATATTCCTGAATCATAAAAATACCACACGTGCCACAACCACTTCATTTCCCCGTTTTCTTTGCACTTAGTCCAGGAATTAACCAAAAAGGGTGTGTTCCAAAGAGGAGACACACTTCAAGCTTTTGTATTATCAAATTTTCATCAGTTTTGGACATAAGGAGATTTGAGCATATCATATCGGTGCAGAGTTTTGAAAAAGCTGTCAGTGCTGCATTTTCCTCATCTTAGAAATTATATTATATTATATATATTATATTATATTATTATATTATATTATATTATATTATATTATATTATATTATATTATATTATATTATATTATATTATGCTTTATAGTTGTGCCTGAGATGAGTAGATACTAACTTATGCTTTTAGAATATATATTTTTAATGAAATATTTATTATAATAGTTGTTTTGATTGTGGTCTTTTGACAAAGGGTGGTTTATTAAATCCACCCACCCACCCACAATATCCATCTACATACAGGATCTTCCAGACCTTAGTTAATGGGGTGAAAAAAGTATGAAAAGAGCTTCTTTGAGCATTTAATTAAACATGATCCAAATCCGCCAGGGTTCTCACACTAAAGCTTCCATGTATGTTCAGCTGAAAGCAGGTTAAAGCCCCCTTTAGACATACATGCTCATTGCATCAAGATCAGATAGGAGCCCAGATAGGATGTGGGGGTGTGGGGCTTACACATGCACCTCCTGACCCACCACACTTTTACCACAGTGGAAGAAGGCTTGGGTCATACATAGCAAAGACCTATTGAAATAAAAAAGATGTAATTTAGTCGAAACTAAGTTAAACCCAACTTATTTCAAACAGTAAGTTCCAAGCATGGTTAAATCTGAATCCAACCCATGGCATTGATTGATTAGATTGTAGAATGAGTAGAAGTATCCATCCTGTTCTTGCCAATGAAACCTTTATGTTCATTCCTTTATTCATAGAATTCTCAGATGCCCGCTTCTACAGAGGTGAGGAGGATGCAAAATCATGTGCAAACAGAATGGATATTGGAGAGAAACCAGCAACCTCTGCAAACTGCTGTTTGTTGACTAGGTCTTCTTCCAGTCATCCTGTAATGGGTAGCTCAACCTGTGTGCTGCCAGATGGTGCTTGACTGCAAATCCCATCATCCCTTGCTTTGGTCATACTGTTTGGGGCTGATGGGAATTGTAATCCAGATCCATACCTACTGGACTAATTTACTTATCCAATACTGTTTGGCTCAAGAAAAGCACAAACATTTTTAAATGCACATTTTGAGGGGAAATACTTTAGACAATGTGTTTATACAATAGGTATACAGGAAGGGTAGATCAATGTGGAAATGGACTGACAGGTAAGCACATGCAAAAGTGAGGATGACCATCATTAATGTGACAAGAATGTGCTTAGCACATTAAACATGTTGCAGATGGCTAAAGCATAAGGAGATATGTTGAGGAACATAGAAGAATTGTTGTAGAGAGAGGGTGAATCATGCAATGCAGAAAGCTTGGATAGAAATTTGTATTACTTATCATATCATAGATTCATAGAATTGTAGAGTTGCAAGGGATCCTGAGGATCAGCTGGTCCAACTCTCAGCAAGGCAGGAATATGCAGCTGTCCAGCAGACAGATGAGAGTGTGGTCCACAGATGGGTGACTTAAAAGAGAGATGTCCACAGACAGCCTTACTTAATTTATACATTAATTTATACGCTTCATTTAAGTCTGTGCCTTTGAATCAAGGCCTTTCTTTTTGTTGCAGTTGATGTGATCTTGGACCCCAGGACAGCTCACCCAAAGCTAAAAGTGTCTGAAGATGGCAAAAGTGTTTGGAACACAGGAAGTGTTTCTAAGGTTTCTGACTGGGAGAAGCGGTTTGACTCCCGCACATTCATTCTGGCAAAATGTGGATTTTCAGAAGGCAAACATTACTGGGAGGTGGGGATTGGTCAGAAGAAAACCTGGGACCTGGGAGTTGCCTCTGCAACTGCTTCTAGAAAGGGGGAGATCACCCTGTCTCCTGAGAATGGCTACTGGGTCATAGGATGTGATGATGGGAAAGATTACTGGGCTCGGACAGAGCAATGGACCCGCCTGAAAGTGTTTGGAAAGCTTACAAAATTAGGAATATTCCTAGATAAATCAGTTGGAAGCTTATCTTTTTATAATGTCTGCAGTAAAAGGAAATTGCACACCTATAAAACACTTGGTGTTGGGGAGCTTTATCCCTTCTTCTCCACAGGATCTGTGACTTCAGTGCTAGGTGGTTCTCCACTAAGGATTCCTCCATGGAATTTGCAAGAGTGATTGTGAGTATAGAATGGGAAAACATACCAGCTAGCCCTGGAATAGCTCAGAATTAGTGAAGCCCTTTCATTTAGCCAAGATAGTAGTATAAATCCAGGTGCCAAAAAATGAGAGAAACAGAGGAGACCCAATGGCATCAATGAATCCTGCATCTAAGAAATAGAAATGATTCAAAACATATGGAGTGTGGACAAGATACCAAGATCTACTTGGAAGGGAAACACTTTTATGGCTATCCCCTATAGAAACTAGTACACAAAAGAAACTTAATATTATGGAGAATTGGGGCAGATATAGAGACATACTTTATTTTTCTGGAGATGTATGAAAATTGAAAAGGTTTGAAGAAATGCAAGAATGGGTAATGGATTGGTTTCAATATTATGAAATTAATGAGTTATTTAAAAGTGTGTTTATACAGTGGTACCTCAGGTTACAGATATTGATATTGATTGATATTAGAATGGGAGACAAAAGATGAAATAGTTAGCTTAAAAATATAATATATTGGATTATAATATTGTGGTCATGATTTGGTAGGTAGAAGATAGGGTGCAGCAGAAGGAGAGAAACAACAACTCCATGGGAAATGGGGGGGGGGGGGGACAAAAATAAAATATGAAACTGTGTTTTGACTGTATATGTTAAAAATGCTGAAACTTAATAAAATATAATTTAAAACCTAAAAATGATTCAAAGCCTTGTTGTTCCTTGTAAGCATGTATAAATAGGGAAAGCAAATTTCAGTGACTGCATAAATGTTGTAGATTCTTCAACAAGGAAACTCATAGTAAATATTATTGATTTAATTACTGCATTTTGAATAATAATAATAACAATAATTTTAGAATTGTTAAATTAAATTTAAAATGTCAAGTTTTGGGAAGTCACAGGCCCACCTGCTGTAAAGGAGGCAGGCAATTTGCCTATCTGGGGTGCAGGCCAGGATTCGACTCTTGATAGGTGGTGAGTGCTTATGCCTCTGCCATCTATTTGGATGGGGCACTGATGTCACAATTCCCTTGTTGAGGCCTTAGTGAAGCCTCTGCTGTCCCACAATGCTGCCACGCCAAAAGGGTGAACGGACTTGCTCTACCCAGTTTCACAGTAGAAACTGCTAGAATAGGGATTGAGGCCCTGTGGCATGGGGGTGGTTTGTGTGCATTGGTATGTCTCTTGGGCATTAGCTGCTGGGGTGCAGCCCTGTTCATTTTATCCTGGAAAAATGTTTCCTATTTATATTCTTAGAAGGAATTTTCAACCACGATTAATGTCTGATTCGTCTCTCTATCATGTGAACTAATTTACCCATTTTCAGAGGGGTTTCTGGTGGGGGGTAAATGGGATAGCAGATGAAAAGCTGCCTTTCTGACCATCAAATATTCTCTAAGTGAATGTGCCTGAGGTTCAGAGATACTGTGGTACTTTAGCTAATGGGGCCTCCTGCAGCCGCTGCCACAGAATTTCTGCTCTCATCCTGAAGCAAAGTTCTTAACCCGAGGTACTATTTCTGGGTAAGCGGAGTCTGTAACCTGAAGCGTCTGTAACCCGAGGTACCACTGTACATTGAATAGTTCACCAGAAGGAATGGTTTAAAAATTATACATCGTTGACTTGTAGCTGCAGCCACATCTGAGGGTGTGCCCTGGGGGAGGGGACAGAAACATGCATGCTGCAAATGTCATGATCATTTCCATCTCGTCTGTGAGAGAAGTAGAAGGACCTGAGAGTCAAGAGCGGCAATGTCAGATTCGGAAGCCAACTCCTACTCTGCCCTGATGAATCTCTTCTGGATTTTCTGTAAGTTTGGGAAACTGGGAAGGGAATTCACGAATATGGTTACTAAAAATTTCCAGGAATTGTTAGAAAACACTTAAGCCATTCCAAAAAAAGCTGAAGTAAAAACTGTAGGTTAGGAGAATTCTTAAATCATTGCTCTGCCCTTGTTATTTCTTGTTAAAACATAGTGTTCACATATTGCATGGATGTTATTACAGGTGCTCTGTTTGCAAATCACTGGTGTTTGGGTGATGGCAAAGATTCAGAGCTTTGCACTTCAACAGGTGAGTTTGAACCTGTGAAGCCTGTGCACACTGGTAAGTATGTAAAGGACTGCAGGATTGTGCGTGTGTGTACAACTAATAAACATGTTAAGATGCAATACAAAAGAGCACAAAGAGAAGTGATAGGAAAGCAAAGAAATGAGAAAGAAAATCATGCCGATAAAGCAATCTAAATACTTTCACAGAACTGGTCGAATATTTGTCCTCCATTGCAATTAAGTTTTCACTTGCTCTCTGCACTTTCTTTCTTTCTTTCTTTCTTTCTTCATTCATTCTCTATGTAAACTTCCTGCTCATGTTTTCTTATTAAATGGAAATTTGGCCCCTGAAGTGAAAATTATCTTCGCACTATGTGTTTATCCATTAGAGGGTGTGCTGACCAAATTTCTTTTTTGTAAAGATGGGGCTCTTATTTCATCCAGAAAGCAATATCCCAAAATGCTCAATAAATAGTCTATTCATTGTAATGAGTGCTGGCCAATATTCAGAGTTGCTGTATCCTAAGATTCTCATTCTATTGGAAACGACATAGGATTGGCTCATAAGATCTTTTTGCTCATCTAACTATTAATCTTCTATACTTTAAAAAAAATTAAATTGAGAGTTTACAACTCCAGATTTCTAAATAAAAATGGAGGTGGCATTAAAATGCTTTAAATAAATAAAACAGAATAGAACATTGCATGCTACTTTCCCCAAAAAGAAATAATTGAAGGCAGTATACCACAAACAATTGGGGGGGGGACTGCTTTAAAAGCAATACAGTAAGACAAAAATAAAGGTGATAGAGCAATTTAATTCCACTCAAATGTTCACTCTCTATAGCAACTACATTTTCACTTACTCTCTGCATTCCTTTATGCTCTTTCTTTATTTCTTCCATTCGTTTGTTCTGTAGGTGAACTTCCTGCTCCTGATTTATTCTTGAATGCAACTTTGGTTCATGAAGGGGACATTATCATAGCACTATGTGTGGCTCCATCAGAGGTTGTGCCGACCAGATTTTTTTTATGTAAAGATGGGGCTCCTATTTCATTCAAAAAAGCAACATCTCAAAATGCTCAATACATATTCTATGCATCACTGAAGAATGCTGGCCAATATTCCTGTGGTTACCAGCAGAAGGATGCAAAGAACCAAGTGAAGACATCTGCCCTCAGTGTTGCTCAGAATCTGATTGTCCAGTCAGGTAAGGTTGTAGAAATGATGAGACTAGGAAGGGACTTGCAAGAGAATGCTGCATGGTGGGATAGTCCTGTTCAGAGTTCCAGCTAGCCAGCCGTGACATATTCCAGCATAGTTAATTTCATTCTCCATCCATTTGGTTTCTATTCCCCCATCACAACAATTAATCAGTATTTCAAAGCTACAGAGCATGTTCAGTCCTCCCTGGTCTGCTTTTGAGATTCAACCTTACAGTGTTTTTCATCGGTTTACATACAACGTATGAAAAATATTCATGTGCCTGGTTTATGTGTTTGGCCTTTATGGATGGGACTTAGATTGACTCATGACCATCCCGTTTAATTTCTGCTGGCACTGCATACGTTGCTAAAGAATGCATGAAAAGTTACAGGTGTTGTTCTATCCAACTAAGTTATACTTTGAGTA